GATCACTTGTCGTTTTGTACATCTTTTGGATTCGAATATCTGAGGTTTCTAGACTTATGCGATTTTTCGACTTTATTGAACATTCATACATTGTGATTTTAAGTTTCTTTCGCCATTAATGTCGGTTATTATATGCGTCTATTCATATTTGTCCTGCTCCACTGCTTGGTTCTCTTCTGAATCTCTCTTCTTCTTCTTATTCTCTCTCGAGAGCTTCGGGAGAACGATTGCGAAGTTCGTCCTAGTACGTATGGATGAACCTGACCGACGGCAATCCTCGTAACTCCACTCTCTTTCGTTTAAGCTTCCTGTGCTTTTCGACTTTGTGTGGATTCGAGTTTCACTGTCTTGGAAATTCGTCTTTGCATTAACAAGTCGCTTCAAGAATTGATCATAATCGCAGAGATCGAAACTTTTAAGTTGGTATACTTGAGATTTCGTTTCAACCATGGGAAGCGTCCACCGGTACTTATGTGTTCTTTTCCTTGTCATTTTTCTATTAATCCTTTCTGCCGTTCTAATTTATGTGGTCTAATTGACCTTCATATTATCTTCACAGAGGAGGAACTAGAAAAACAAATGACAGTGCAATGATTATCTCCACAACGTTAGTGGGAGTGGTCTTTGGATTTTTTCTGGGTGCTTCATTTCCTACAGTGTCGCTAACGAAGGTATGCTATACTTCTTCAGAATGTTACTTGCAGCCCCTTATGCCTACATCCATTTGATACATTTCAATATTTACAGATTAACTTACCTTCAAGCCTTATGTCATCTCTTGATGTAGCCATTGACGTGCAAAGATCCCCTAGAACCAATTTAACTGAGACTCGTGGATCACCCAAAACTCCCAAGGTATTATTGTTGAATTCCGAAATTATTCTGTAGGCAAAAAACCAACATGTCATGCAGACTTTTTTTTTATTCTATTTATTGATGTATTGGCGCAAAAGTTTGACATCTAAATACGATTGTCATGGTTCATAATAAATTGCCAATATCTCTAATTTTCTTTAATCTACCAGATATATGTGCCAACAAATCCTCGTGGTGCAGAGGCATTACCTCCCGGAATTGTTGCAGCAGAATCTGATTTTTATTTACGTCGATTATGGGGTGAACCCAGTGAGGTATGTATGATAGTGATGTATGTATATCTTACTATCTAAGCAAATTATCACTGTTCTGGGGGGATCTTGAGTTATTATTTTAAGAACGATCTTGGAATAAGTTATAATTATTTTGGCGTTCCTTCTTTATGTTGAAGTGGCCTCTCTTAAAACAATTTAGAGTTCTAATTTCATTATGAACAGTACCATTTGCCAACGTATATAACTTATTGCTTTCCATTTCAGAAGTCTATTAATCTCCCTAAATTCACGTGTTTTTAGAGGGATGGAGGGCAATGGAGTTTTTTGTTGATTAGAAATAGCCACCCTTTTGTTCAATCTATTTCTGCATCTTATTTTAAATTTTGAGGATCGATAGAGCCTGACTTGCTGTTTTTTTTTTAATAAAAAAAATTCCATATCACATTTTAACTGCATGTGGAAGGGATTTAAGCCTATACTGAAAGCCCTTAATTGTGCAGGATCTAAATAAAAAACCCAAGTACTTGGTTACATTCACCGTGGGCCTTGATCAGAGAAAAAATATTGATGCAGCGGTGAAAAAGGTCATATATATGGAGGAGTATTATTCAAATTGTTTATACAAATTACAATGTTGTTGAGGCTCATGTTTTCTCGTTGTATCAGTTCTCTGATGATTTTACAATTGTGCTTTTCCATTATGACGGTCGGACTACTGAGTGGGATCAGTTTGAGTGGTCAAGGAATGCAATCCATGTCAGTGTCAAGAAACAAACAAAATGGTAGATGTGTTGGTATTTTGTATGATTTGGGTTATTTCATCCTGTATAATTTCTGTTGCAATTGGAGCCTGATTCTTGTCTTGCATTCAGAACGCATATTTAAGAAGAAGATTCAATTTTTGGTTTTCTTATTTCTTTCTTTTGCACTTGAGGTGGTACGCAAAAAGGTTCTTGCATCCTGATGTTGTAGCTGCATATGATTATATTTTTATATGGGATGAGGACCTTGGAGTTGAGCATTTCAATGCGGAGAAGTAAGCATATTTTTCTTTTATCCTGCTTGTGATGTTTGGTTCAATGGTCCGATGCTATTTGTAATAGCTTTCTCTTATTGATTGACCAATAAGGTATATTGAGTTAGTGAAAAAACATGGTTTGGAAATATCCCAACCTGGACTTGAGCCTAATAATGGACTGACATGGCAAATGACAAAGAGGAGAGGTGACAGAGAGGTTCATAAGTAAGCTCTTTTCGTTTCTGCTTTTTACTTTTGGGTGGTATATTAGGTTCTCACTTTTCATGTTTACGTTGGATTCTGACATGCACATTTTCGATGGTGAAATAGGGATACGGAAGAGAAAGCGGGCTGGTGTAGCGACCCTCGCTTGCCTCCTTGTGCTGCGTAATTCTCTCTTACACAATTATGTTTCTCCCTTAGTTGGATATTTAACAGAGAACTTTGAGGGTGAACTTAAAAGTAGTTCATCTCCGGATGCTTCTCCACGGATTTGAAATCTCTTCTTTCATGAAGTCTAGTGAATAGAGTTTAGAACTACTGACTGGTGTCAATCTAGTCATATGGTATCCTTACAAGTTTTGTTCACTGGTTTCATATGTTACAGGTTTATAGAAATTATGGCTCCTGTTTTTTCTCGTGAAGCTTGGCGATGTGTTTGGCATATGATTCAGGTATACTGTAACTACATAAGAAGATAGGGTTGCTCAATATAAACTTGCATATATGTGCGACCTCAAGTATTTTTTATTTCTTGCCACATCTTATCTAAGTAGTTAAATTTACTTGTAGAATGATTTGGTACATGGATGGGGGCTAGACTTTGCTCTCAGAAGATGTGTAGAGGTCAGTAGTTCTCCTCTGATATTATTCCTTTTGTGAGCCTTTCGTCTGTCTTATATATATTATGTGATTTTATCTGTTTTTTCCAGCTTTATTGACTTGAAAATTCAGCTGTCAACCTAAGCTTCACTTTAAATCTCCTTAAATATGTATAACCTAAGTACGACACGTGTGAATATAAAAGATACTATGAGACCTACTGTTTTCTTTTGATGGGTTCCCGCAGCCTGCACATGAGAAAATTGGCGTAGTTGATTCGCAGTGGATTATTCATCAAGTAATCCCTTCTCTTGGGAATCAGGTGAGATGTTTCTGCATGCTATTAATTGTGAATGAACTCCATTCCGTTCGATTTCATTTCTCTGACTGCACATGAGAGTGTGCATGCAGATGCAGACACTCAAATTATGTGTTATTGTCTGTTTCTTTATTTTTTGTTACTTTACCCTTTTAAAGTGTTAATCTTTTGAAATATTTTCCAAGATTTGGTATTTTATACTTAATTATCTATTTACTTTCAGGGCTATTCTGAGAACGGGAAGGCTCCATGGCAAGGGGTAAATATCAATGATAATTTCTTCTTTTCTATGCATGATGATCTCTAATATATTGTTGGTTCCAAAAGACCAACTGAAGTTGCTATCTGTTCCTCGCTTGATCCTGCAGGTGAGAGCAAGGTGCAGAACTGAATGGGCTGAGTTTCAGTCTCGGCTTGTGAATGCTGACAAAGCATATCTCGATCAGATTAATAAGACGAAACATTTATAGAAGGGACCACCCTTCTGTTGGAGTTGTCACGGTGATTATGTACATGTCCTCTTCTTACCTTGAGGGCTTATTTGATGGGTCCTTGAGCGAGATCTCTCTCTGATACATTTGTTGTAGAATTTTTCATTTTGTTTACTGATAGAGAAATAATTCATATAAAAGCGCAATACACAGCCACAGTCGTTTTCCTGGTTTCGTTCTGTATAGTGTGTCATGTTGGGCTGATAGGGCAATATACCAAAAGTAGACTTCAGAACGGGAGCCAATATACCGGAGTTGTTTTAGGAACGAAGTAATATGAATATGATAGATCCCTTTTGAACTGTTGCTATCTAACTTTAGGGATAGTAATTGGTATCCTACCCATTGAGTTATACTCAAAATGTGATTGGTTTGAGTTTGGTATGGATTTTAGCAGTTTTTTTTTTCCTTCATCGTTTCATTTTAGTTGGAATGTCACGAATCCTGGTGAGATTCTAATGTAGAATAGTAATCAACCACCAGAGATGACGATTGACGTCAAGTCGAATGATATCTATTTAAAATAATCCAAGTTTTTCGCCATAATTCACGTGGATTTAGTGGACCATTTGTGAAATTATGTCTTCGCTTTCACTGTATGTTCTTTTATTGGAGCAAATATTGTATGTATTACTTGCGATCTTTCACAGGTTATGGAAATAAGCAATCCGGCCTCGGTATGTAATAAGAAAGATGATAGATTATTTTCTTGAAAGAGTTAGATAAGATGTCAAATTTTGGATGCCTTTTGGGTTTAATTCTGTGTGGGATTCCATAACTGAGCTTGAAACCAAAATAAGAGCACCCTTCCTTAGAGGCTTAACAATGCTATGTATGGTGGGCGATATTGAAAGGAAAGGAATTAGCTTTGGAGTAAGATCCAAGGTTCCTCACCTAACAATAATGGAGTTTCCAGAAAACCCAAACTCCTTTTGCTTGCATTTCTAGACACCTATCTCTTTCTCTCTCTCTCTCTCTTCCACAAGTGAATGTTCAGTTCACCATCCTTCCTTGTCTACTAAGACTCAATATTAAAAAGTTGTATTCGGCTATAGAGAACCTCGCTGACTTTGCTAACTGAACACAACTCATGCGAAAACTAAGTTTGTTTAGTCATACATGCTCATGCATGTTTATTTGCTTGCTATTCTAGCCGACTCGTCCCTACTCTAGGCTAAGTCTTCCAGCTTGACCTTGCCTCGACTTTAGGCCAAAGTCCTTCAGATTTTATGTCTCATCTCATTTCAGATGTAATGATTAAGAAAAAAGGATTTACAGTGGTGGTCGATATAAATGAATGAAGAAAAGAAAGAAATTGAGTGTAATGTAAAGTCAAATCTCTTGAGGTGAGGGGTGTGTTAGTCATTTCAGAATAATTTGAAAATGGAGGCCTTGAGGTTGAGGTTGAGGTTGAGGCTTTGCTTGCAGTGGGAGTCAAATCATAAGGAGGCCTTCTCCAAACTCCGCCATCTGAAAACCAAAATTAATTTAATGGAATCTTCATTCTTTTAGCGGTAGGCACCAACCAACCTTTCATTTCCCACCAAAAATATAACCCACCATAATCCTATAATTCTTCTTCAAGCTTTCCATCTCTCTGTGACAATCTAAACTTGTCGCCCATAAACACCTATTCAATCAACTTCTAGCTCCTCTCAGATCTTCAACGCACACTTGTTTGTTCTTTGATTGATTGTTTCTTTGTTTCTTTGTTTCTTTCAACCATTTTCATCACAAATGGGAGAAATCTCAAGCTTCCAATTGGGTGTCATTGGAGCACTCTTCCTATCAGTAGCTTCTTCTGTCTCCATTGTTATCTGTAACAAAGCTCTCATGAGCAACCTCGGCTTCCCTTTCGGTGCGTACTTTTTCCCTTTTACGTTATTATCTATCACCTTAACTGTCATGTTAGAGTAATCTCTTTCTTTCTTCATTAGTTGAGTTTTGTTCAAATTGACACTTTTGTTTGTGGCAGCAACTACTCTGACTAGTTGGCATCTGATGGTCACATATTGCACCCTTCACGTGGCTCATCGCTTAAACTTGTTTGAGTCCAAACCCATCGACACGAAGACCGTTGTGCTCTTTGGGATTCTCAATGGCATCTCCATTGGGTTTCTCAACTTGAGTTTAGGATTCAATTCTGTTGGATTCTACCAGGTTGAGTTTGATTATGAGTTCTTTGGATTCTTTTTCTCTTCTGCCAAGCTGACATATTGTTTTTGTTCTTGTTTTCCTCTGTAGATGACAAAACTTGCAATCATACCATTCACTGTTATGTTAGAGACTATTTTCCTTAACAAGCAATTCAGGTACTAACTTTTTCTCCTCTGCCTAATCACAAAGAAGGGCTAATTTCTCACTTGGATTCTTGTTGTAGCTCAAGGATTAGGCTCTCTCTCTTCCTCTTGCTGGTTGGAGTTGGCATTGCCTCTGTCACTGATCTTCAGCTCAATCTTATGGGAACTGTTCTTTCTCTCTTGGCTATCATGACAACATGCGTCGGTCAAATTGTATCCTTGTGAGATCCCACATTGGTTAGAGAGGAAAAGCGTTTCTTATAAGGGTGTAGAACCATTTTTCCTAAAGACACGTTTTAAATCCGTGAGGCTGACAACGATATGTAACAGGCCAAAGCGGATAATATCTACTAGTGGTGGGTTTGACTATTACAAATGGCATCAGAGCCAGACACTGGGCGGTGTGCCAGTGAGGACGCTGGGCTCTAAAGGGGGTGGATTGTGAGATCCCACATTGGTTGAAGAGGGGAACAAAGCATTTTTTTATAAAGAGTGTGAAAACCTCTCCTTAACAAACGTGTTTTAAAACCATGAGGCTAACGGCGATACGTAAGGGACCGAAACAAACAATATCTACTAGTGGTGGGCTTGGCTGTTACAAATGGTATCAGAACCAGACACCGAGCAGTGTGCCAGCAAAGACATTGGACCTCAAGAGGGGTGGATTGTGAGATCCCACATTAGTTGAAGAGGGGAACGAAACATTCTTTATAAGAGGGTGGAAATCTCCCCCTAACAAATGCGTTTTAAAACTGTGAGGCTGACGGCAATACGTAACAAGTCAAAACATACAATATCTAGTAGTGGTAGGCTTGGCTGTTACAAATGGTATCAGAGCCAGACACTGAGCGGTGTGTCAGCGAGGATGTTGGGCCCCAATGGGGATGGATTGTGAGATCCCACATTGGTTGAAAAGAGAAACGATACATTCCTTATAAGAGTGTGAAAACCTCTCCCCAACAGATGCGTTTTAAAACCGTGAAACTGACGGCGATACGTAACAAGCCAAAACCGACAATATCTGCTAGCGGTGGACTTGGGCTATTACAATCCGTTCTCCTCACACTCCTTTCCATTTCTATCTTCATGTTAGTTTTTCCCCTTAACTTGATGTTTAAAACAGCTAACAAACACTATTCAAAAGAGGCTGAGTGTATCTTCAACACAGCTGCTGTATCAGTCAGCTCCATTTCAAGCAGCTATTCTGTTCGTGTCTGGCCCTTTCTTAGACCAATGTCTCACCAACAAGAATGTGTTTGCCTACAAGTATTCTCCCGTAGTTCTGGTTTGTCACTGTCCACTGCTTTCATTACACTCTTCTTTCATGACACAGAAAAATGAGTGTGGTATTGAACCTGCAGGCTTTTATCATCCTTTCATGTCTGATATCTGTCTCCGTCAACTTCAGCACATTTTTGGTGATCGGAAAGACGTCACCGGTGACATATCAGGTGCTTGGCCACCTCAAGACATGCCTTGTTCTTGGCTTTGGCTATACTCTTCTTCATGATCCTTTCACTGAGAGAAACCTCATTGGAATTCTTATAGCCATTGGTGGAATGGGATTGTATTCATATTTTTGTACCCAAGAGAGTAAAAAGAAGCAGGGTGACCTCTGTTTAGGATCTTCTCAGGTACCTCCAAGTTCTTGTTTTTCTTTGAAAAAAACACTAACCAAAGGCCTTGAAAGTTTTAAAAAGTTCTCCAAAAGTGTATTTTGATGAACTGGGTTGGTTTTGTTTCAGATCAAAGACAAGGAAACAGCAGCTCTTCTGGCAGGAGTTCATCAAGATAAAGAAAGCCATGAAGTGAAGAAATCAAGCAAGGATTCTGTGGTTTAAGCAAGTAAATGGGATATATGCACAGGGAGTTCATCATTATATGGTTTAAATTCTTTGAATAAATACCCCATTTTGGTACTCATTCACACCATTCATCTAGGTTAATACTCAACTCACAGGTGCATGTTTAGATTCCTTTCAAATCGTTAGTCTTAATCTTAGTTATCGATCTCTTTCATATTCAATATAGAAACGTGAGAAAAAATGTACTTCTGTAAATGTAATGAATAGGAATGGAGAAGTTGAACGAGGTGTTGAGTATATTTAGCTTTGAAGTATGGTTTACCTGCAAATATTTTGTATGAATGAGGATTCAGAAACCTTTATTACTGCGATTGAGGATTTAGAAGGCTTTATTGTAGGCAAATATCTTGTATGATTGAGAATTCAGAAGTTTTGGAGAATGAAAGATTGCTAAATTCGATACCATGAGAATATTTGTTAAATAGAATTTAAGCGTAAAAATTGAGGGAGAGAAGGAGCGTGGAATTGGAACGGGAATATTGGATCACGTGGGTTGGCAGTGGCGTGGAACCTGCAGGGGTGTCTGTAAAGCTGTCGGCGTAGGCGGGCCACACAAATTTAGTTAGGCCCAATTCAACCCGTGGGACTCTGTTTTTTTTTTTTTTTTTTCATTTGCAATTATTATTAATATTATTTTGTGATTCGAAACACTCGATCAATTTAACTCGATTGGTACAAAGTTAGTTCTTTGAATTGAATTAGATTCAAATAAATAAAAACTTTATAAATTTGGTTAACTTAAAAATATACATTTCTTTTTCTTATAATATAATTATATTTTTTTTATTTAATTTCATAATTATTATTTTTATTTATTCTCCCCCTAACTCTTTTAACCATTTGGAAGTTCATTCTTTGTATTAAATTAAAGGTTTAAAAATAAATAAATATATATATTAAAAATTAACATTTTACTCGTATAAAAAAATAAAATATTTAAATAAATGATTCAAACAACTTACTCACTCGGATTCAATTGAGTTTAGTTCATTATTCAATTAATAAATAAATATCTCAACCCAATCGAATAGAAAGGACATTTTGTTAGGGTATAATTTAAATGGAATTTTGTAATTTTTGAAAAATAAAAATAAAAATCCATTGGAATCTGTTGTAACCCAAAAACTGGTTGTTTGTTGTGCGCCACATCATCATCTGTTTTGATGACAAGACAAGGATTGAGCAATAGTTGTGAAGAAGATTGTCGAATTCCTTGCTGTGATGCGACATGTCGGTAATGACGTTGCTACTTCACCCAACACTCTCTCTGCAGCAGCTGCAAGCTTCAGCTCCTTCTTTAGCCCTTCATCCCAAACAGCGTTAATGGCCATGAATTTGTTCTGTCGCAAAGCCTGTCGGTGTGGTCGTATTATCCCATGTTCCCCAAAACTCCTGCCTTCCCTTCTTTAATTGCTGTTACTTTGCCCAAATGCTTTGCATAAACTCACCTTCTTACCTTGCTTCCCTGTCCCTGTATTGTGTTTTTTTAGTGGGTTACAGCAAATGTGGAGGGCTTCCATACGATAATATGTTATTGTTTAATACTCTGAGATCCAACCTGAGATACCACATAGGTTGGAGACGGAAACGAAGCGTTCACACGTTTTAAAATTATGAGGCTGATGATTATATGTAACGGGCTAGAGCGGACAATATCTACTAACCGTGGACTTTGGCTATTATAAATGATACTAGAGGTAGACACCGAGCGGTGTGTCAGTGAGGACGCTAGCTCCCAAAAGGGTGGATTGTGAGATCCGACGTTGGTTGGAGAGGAGAATGAAATATTTCTTATAAGGATGTGAAAACTTCTCCCTAGTTGACGTTGGCTCCCAAGGGGAGGTAGATTGTGATGCTGACGGCGATACATAATCAGCCAAAGCAAACAATATTTACTAACCGTGGACTTGAGTTATTACAAATGTACCAAAGCGAGACACCAAAATTGTGAAGCTGATGATGATTCGTAACTGGCCAAAACAAACAATATCTACTAACGGTGGGCTTAAACTATTACAGGTGGTATCAGAGTTGGATATTAAGGCAATATGCCAGCGAGGAAACTAGCCTCTAAAGGAGATGGATTGTGAGATCTCACGACGACCCTACGTAAATGACTCATATATATATATATAAAAGCATATTTTATCCTTTTTTTTTTATAGTTTATTGAAAATATCATTCAAACTTACAAAATTATATATATATAAATTAAAAAATGGAGTAGTATTTTTATTAATTTAACATAAATTGTATTTGTAAAATTCTAAAATAATTAATATAGTTAATTTTAAAATAATTGTTAAAATTAAATAGTGCAGAAGAGCATATAATACACAAGAATAGTAAAAATTTCCAATTAAAGCATATGAATATTAATTATTATTATTTTTTTAAGACAAATAAAAGGAAACCCATAAATGCACCCAAAAAAAGAAAAAAAAAACATATATTAATAGGAGTAACAAGAATTTTTTTTTTTTCACTTTATAATTTCAAGTAATTAATATAATGCAAAAATTAGAAATGCACTACTTGAATAGGCTTAATAGACTCTCCAATTTAATTCTTTGTGACCAATTAATTTAATATCTATAATTTCAAATTTTAATTTTAATTTTAATTATTCTTATTTAAATATAATATAAAAATGATATTTTTAATAAATGAATATTAAATTACCGAATTACTTAAATATTTGTTGAAGTAGAATTTAGTCTCGTAGATTTAGATAAAAACTCAAGTTGAGAAAATTCAGCACCCTTAGGCCTAGTAGGCGATCGATGGCTTGAATGAATTAAGACCCATTAAGGCAGAGGAATTAAAGGTTGGGGTCAGCTCAACCCAAACCCTTTAAGAGTTTGCCTCTCGAATGGTCAACCCAAAACACCTAGAGGTCAGCTTAACGCGTTTGAAAACAACGTTTTTAGAATTAATCTAGTCTCGAATGGTCACTATGTATAGGGACTGCTTGGTGTTACACGAGGAAAATAAATTTAAATCTCAAATAGTCAAATGTTTGTTGGGATGTTATTAGACAAGTTTAAGGCTAACCTAAGTTGTCTCTATTAAATTTTATAGAGTTAAAAATAAAGTTATAGATATTAATTATATAAATTTAGAGTAACATTATCAAAATCCTTACCGTGCATCTAAAATTTTCACTATTTCAATATTAAATAGAAAAATTTTATATATTAAAACTGATGGGCCAACTTGAAAACTCGAAGACCTAATTGTAACAACGATCCTATAATTTATAATTCATAGTCAATATTGAAAATTTCCTTAAAAAAAATAATATGAAATATTTGAAAGTATGATTAAAATGGGTAAAAAAAGAAAATAGAAATTGGAGAACGAAAAAGAAAATAAATGGAGTTATTGAGACCAGGAGCGCGTAGAGAAAAAAGACGAGGTGGGGCACACGCCCTAAAAGAATGAAAAGAAGAATAAACTAAAAAAGAACCCTCGAGGTCAAAGTTCAAATATAGAGCAATAAACTCAAAAAAAAAAAAATTTAAAATTTTTCGGATTCATTAAACTATATTATAATTAACATATAAATAAAAAATTATTCGATAAGATGTCAAATTATTCTAATTTGAGAGTAAAAAAAAATAAAAAGGTTAAATGAAGCGGGTAAAACAGTAATTGTTTTGATTCACTGTGGCGTTTCTCTTGTAATCGCGCGATACGAAAGGAAACGAACTAATCCAACAAAAACCCTCCTTCCTCCTTCCTCTGTTTTCTTTCACATTGTTTGTTTGGTTATTTTGTTCGTATCCTCCAACCCTGAGAGACCCCTCACTATTTGGGATCTAAACTCATTTCAGCAACCTTCAATTCCACAGATCGCCGCCGGATCATCATCCTTCATTCAATCTTTACCCATTCAGTTTCTTTTCTTTTTCACGAACCAACGCTTCCGCCGCCCTCGATTTCACCGCATCTCTCGAATGCTTTAACAGCAAGAACTGTGGATGGGTCTTTTCTTCTTCCTGTTCTTCCATCTGGGTCTGTTTTGAAATTTCATTTTCTGGGTTGTATTTCGATTATGCAGCTGAACACGCTGAATCTGAGCGTTTTGGGTTTGATTATCGCATTCAGACTCTGAGCTCTTCCCCTGTTCTTCTTTTTCTTCTGCTACTCTTCGAATAGGCGAATCTGTTCGTTCTTTTCAATCAAGGAAGCTGTATTTTCGGCGATTTTAAGGTAACATTGAATCCCGATTCTGTTCCTTCTCTGTTGTGTTCATTAACTTTAATTCCTTTAGTCTCTTTCGCCTGCTCAGAAATTAAAACACCCAGAATGTATAATGTCGTTCTGCTTTGAAAAGCTCTGTTTCTCATTAGCTTTCTCTGTTTTTCCCCTTTCTCAGGCATTCAAATGAAAGAAGCAGAGAAAAGCTTAGATCCTCAACTATGGCATGCCTGTGCGGGAGGCATGGTCCAGATGCCTGCAATTAACTCCAAGGTTTTCTACTTCCCTCAGGGCCACGCCGAGCACGCTCAGGCCACCGTCGATTTCACCTCCTCACTCAGAATCCCGCCTCTTATTCTTTGTCGAGTGCTCGCTGTTAAGTTCTTGGCTGACCCTGAAACGGATGAAGTTTTTGCTAATGTAAGTTTGGTTCCACTGGCGAACAACGACCTCAATTTCGAGGAAGAGGGTGGTTTTGGGGGTAATGGGTCGGATAATAACATGGAGAAGCCGGCTTCCTTTGCCAAGACGTTGACCCAATCCGATGCTAACAACGGCGGTGGATTCTCGGTTCCGAGGTACTGTGCGGAGACGATATTTCCGCGACTGGATTACACGGCGGATCCGCCGGTTCAGACGGTGATTGCTAAGGATGTTCACGGTGAGGTTTGGAAGTTCCGGCATATTTACAGGGGAACACCTCGCCGGCATTTATTAACTACTGGGTGGAGTAGTTTTGTGAATCAGAAAAAACTCGTCGCCGGCGATTCTATTGTTTTTCTAAGATCCAAAAATGGCGACCTCTGCGTCGGAATCCGGCGAGCCAAACGGGCAATTGGGTGTGCCGTCGATCACCCATATGGC